CTTAGTTATATAACACTGTAGTTTCAGAGACAAATGGACTTTTAAATTTATTAAAACTTCTAAAACTTTACACAGGACGCTCCTCGCTTCAACTACTCTAATACAAGGTCTTCATAACCGAAGTGTATGCTGAAACCTGCTACCACGCAACTGGTTGGCTTTTGGTACCCCAAGTATAGCTAACCGAACTTGATAGGTCAATCATTAACCGGTTACAAGAATTTCCCGACAGAGATGAAAAATGGTGGGAAACAAAGACAAACATGAAGATCGGGGAAGGATTTAAGGCTTTAACTAAAAAATTTAAATAAAAGAAACCAGAAAAATCTCTTCAAAAAGCATGATGCCCTGTTCATACACAGGGAAATACTCTGGCGACATTATAATGGTGATTAAAAACATTCAAGCTATCTCCCAGTAACAGCTTCCGTGCAATATAAAGTTAAACACTTACACTTTAATTTTTTTTTTCTTAAATGAGAACCAAAATGAATACTCCACAGTCCACTCCAAGTTGACTGGCTTTTCTTATTGGGCTGCCTCAAATGTTGTCCACTGTTTTTAAAGTAGAAAGTTCCAATGTATTTTATATTAGTACAGAAGGTTGTACTGGTCCAATTTTTACTTCTGGGCAAAGTTTCTCTAACCCATTCTTTAACAACAAAAGGGGGAGGGTACATTTTGGATTGCACGGAGTGAACATAATTGAGAATACCAAACATGGGAATGGAGTGGAACATCATAATCCCAAGATCATTCATTTGTACCAAATGGATAACCAAAATGTCCTACGCAAAAAGTTAAGCACTAACTTATTTAAGGCAAGTGAGCAGAATGTATTGTGCCTTCACGGAAAATGATATTCCAAGCAATGGGAAGAACAAAAAGATCATTTTGTTACTTGATCAATGCCGGTGCTAAATTATGGTGGAAACATGGCGAAAGAACAACCACAACTTACAAACGCAATTTAGAGCAATTGACAACGACCGTAACTAGTTACCTTTGAGAGTACGCAAAGAAATGATTGGACGTGGTTCCTCGATATTGAATCACCGATCAACGCCCATGTTTTATTACTCATTAACTGAAGAAACTTATGTGGATCAAACCGAGGCAACTGGCAATTACGTGGATTCCACCTCCAGTAAAGATAACCAGTATCAGGCCGGCCATTCGTCATACAATTCTGATGGCTTTCAATAAATTTGCATGTCTCGTTCGTGTAAACAGGACCAGATGGATCAGGAATCCAATCTCCATTGAAGAGATTACACTTCCCTGCTTGCTCTACAGCACAAAGGAAACAAATCACACTATGTGACAACAGAGACAACAAACTTGATATTCCAAAACAAGACACATACTATAAAGGGACAGCAGCTAAAGAATCAGCCAACAGATCTATAACCTAATCAAACAAAATATTCTATTTACTTTGTCAAGTTCAACACTTAGGTAACGATTCCAATTAA